TCGAATTTCTTTGTTTCCTGAGTTGCTGTATGGTGCGGTGAATCAGAATGGGCCTTACTCGATTATGCCCTTTTGGCATTTGACGATTATTTGTCTCTTCAATCTATCATTGTTTTACACTGCTGTTGGGACTTGCTATATAACTCAGTAATTCGTGAAATGCGGAGCTGGTTGGATGTTGTAGATGCTGTTTTTCGAGAATAGTTTTAGCGTTTTCATGAATATTTATTCCCATACTTTCATAAACTTGGAAGTGGTGACGATCTAGATGCTTAGTGAGCCTCCTTTTCTAGCATCTTTATTTAGCCGATTCTTTTAGAAGAAAGGATGGCAAAGTTGATGGTGGGGGCTGTCACTTGGTCTTCAGGTCATTTTCCATTGAGGTCCCTTTTCATTCCTTCATCCATGAGTGCCTTGATGGTTTCGTGTTGAGGGCGATAGACGGAGTTCTAGGGTTGGTTACTTTTCATTTGTTTGGAATATACGGACTATATTATTTGGAGTATACGAAGTGATAAAGTAAAAAGGTTAGATGTATTTTTTGTTCTGCACGTACTAGTTGTGTTATGTTCAGATGGTGAGCGCTATGAAGCGTTGGCACTCCGCCTGCTGGAGTGCACTGTAGCGCGATACAATGGTGAGGTAGTACTTTTGCGTACTCCGGTATAACGTATCAAAAGCCTCACCGACCCTGGCAGGGGTCGAACCTGCAATCTTCTGATTAGAAGTCAGACGCCTTATCCATTAGGCCACAGGGCCAACAGTACTACTTTTTCCTGTACTAAACTTGATCAAATTCATGCTGGCTAACTAGTCAACGTGCGGCAGCCCTCCGAGACAACCAGCTAATTACGAAAGCGACAATTTTGTACAGTGCGAGGTTTCACAGGCTCGGGAACACAAATTTGACGGAACGTTTGAGAAAATTGAGTGTTTAAGACTCATATCAACTACTTCTAAACCTTCTTAACAGATTCACTCCATAAAGATAAGTTGAGTTTTTTTTTTTTTTTTTTCAGTGGAACTGGCAGATGCAAACGAAGTTTGCAAGCTTTCAGATTTTGGATAGAGATTGTTGGAAAGGTATGAGATATAATAAAACGTTTTAATCTTTGTTTCCAAAGAGATTCATTTTATACGACACATCAGTTTTTTTATAAAGGAATCTGTCGTAACATCCATGAAGAGCTCAACATCAGGTCTATTCTGGTTGGCACTCCCTACTAACACTCAGAATGCCTTATGAATCTCGCGCAACGGAAAAGAATAATGAACATCACCGGAGTTGTCCGCAGTTTGTGATAATGATTTCTGCAGTAGTCTTCCCACTTTGAGACCCCTTCGCTTCAATAGCCCGCACAACGTCCATACCTTCAGTTACGCGGCCGAAAACAACGTGCTTACCGTCTAACCTGAAGTGTATTCTTGTCTTAGCTCGAGCAGTAATGATTTTGCAATTAAGCTTTTTGGAACAAATTCGTGTACCTTCCAACATAACCACTGTCAATATAGTTTTGACAGAAATTTGCCACATTTTTAAAGAAGCATACCAGTCAGTCTTGGCTGTACAGATGAAAAATTGAGAACCGTTGGTATTTGGCCCCGCATTAGCCATAGAGAGAACTCCCGGTCCTGTGTGCTTTTCCTAAAAAGGTGACTTACAACAACCACACTTCCTTTAATTATAGTAAGCACAGTACAATGCAGTTCTACAAAAAAAAGAATAAGGTTAAGACTAAATAATACATTTTACAAGCTATTTTTATGGCATAACAGCGAAAATCACAGCGGATATAGACTGCAAAGGTAATTCTGCACTAAAGACCAGTGAACTTTGTATCTTTGAACAACGGGACTTCAACAGGCAAACAGTTTTCTAGTTAAATCTGGCTGAAAAACTGCTTTGAAACTAACAATGAAGTTTTCATCAGCAAACTTCTCGCCATAAACTGATTCTCCACCTGTGCCATTACCACGAGTGAAATCTCCGCCCTGAATAAGACTAATGAAGGAGTGTTTGATAAGTTGATAAGTTGAATTAAAAGTGACCATAAAAAATCTTGGTTCTTGCGCACTATTTCATGACTGAAAATAAATGGACTCCAAATATCTGTAAAAAAAAATAAAAACGTAAATACCAAAATGTACAGAAGTATCACTAGTAAGTAATTACTTGAAGCATAAAATTCGGTATGACACGATGAATTTTCGAACCTTTATAATGCAGTGGTTTGCCAAACTTCCCCACTCCTCGTTCGCCAGTACACAATGCGCGAAAGTTCTCCGATGTCTTTGGAACAATATCAGCAAACAACTGGAAAACAAATTCCTTCTACTCCAGTTTTACTGTAAACTTAGATTATAAAAATTAGACAAATGACAATTGCCGTATAAAGCTAACAGACATCTCTGATTCATTACATGCTAAAAAGCCACTGACGTAGAATAATACAAAAAAACAAATTTTTTACATCGTCAAAAAGCACTTACTTCCATAACAATACGTCCAGCATTTCTACCATCAATAGACATGTCAAAAAACACTTGAGGCCGAGACATATTTGACTTCAGTCCTAAAATTGAAAATCTTGGAGTAGCGCCTTTTGGCCAAAGAGTAGTTGCACAAGTAAGAAAACAAAATCACCCAGCTACCCGACAAACACGACTGGCAGTTGTCCACAAAAAAGGCCAGGCGTTTATTTGGGGACGCAGGTTCGCGTAGGAGTGACGCGCCAAAGCAGGCCCCGCCTTTTTACCACGCAAAAACAGTGGACAAAGACAGCGTGAAAAGGATCACTTAACTGTAAGTGTTTTTAAAAACCGATTTCTAAACAAATGAAAACATTGACAGTGAGTATTATTGAAGTAAATGGATCAGCCTATTACAGAGTCATGTTGACAAGATTTTCCCAAGAATATCAAGTGCTCCACATTTTCTTCAAACACTAATCGTTTCAACTTTTGGCTATGACTTCACACAACTAAACTTCACTTCGCCCCGCCTCTATTACCACGATTATAAGAAAGAAGTGAGAAGCACTATAAGTTGCCGCTTTCCAGTCTTCCTCAGAGATCAAAACTAATTGTGTTGAACAAAAGAGTTCATTGTGGTATAGATTTCTGAACTTTCTCAACCTTCTAAGATTTTTTTTGCAGATAATTGAGAAGAACAATTAGTTGCGACTCTGGCCCTAAACTGCGCATTATTTGTAAAAAGAATAGAAGATCTAACAGGAAGTAGTTTGCTGAGTAATAAGAAAACTATAATTTTAGTTTTGCAGGAGTTTGTGCGGTTTCCCTCTAGACTTGGAAGGCTTTCTGCATATCAGCAGAGATTTAGATCCAGCAATTAATTTACCCCGTAAAAGTCTAAGCTGCTGCTGCCACTATGAAGATCGTTTCAGCTAAATACGAGAGGTACTAGGATCTCTAAAACAACTGTTTCCTGTTGTTTTATCGAAGTAACTTGGTGATCCTGGATATGCGTGAACTAGAATTTTGTGAAGTGTTTTCACGCTTTCAAATCCTAAAATTTATACAAATAAACAGTTCCTTTCTGTGTCGTGACTGGTCTGTAAATTTGTTTTTCAGTGCGAAAGTCTGACAGTCGAACCCGCCTTGAACCTGATGTATCAAGGATTCAGTGCGGCAAGAACTCTGTTTCCGCTAGTGGTTGCGTTTGCCACTTTTCAGAGCAAATTCCTGAATTACCTACGTTTTGTTGATGCTCCTTGACTTCTCCTAGATAAAGTTTATCGGAACCAGAAAGTCTTTTCTTTGTTATACCTATTTGGTTGCAAGAGTTGAATTTCGCTGACTAAACCTACAAATCCTACATCTTGTTAAACACTTTTTGAAACTTTACAGCTAGCTAAGGTTCTTCAGTATATAACAGTTTCTGAAGAAAAAGTGTGGAGGTAAAGCCAAACTAATCGTACATAAATTTGTTCCTCGTGATTAAGATCTTATTTCAACAGGAAGCAAGAGAGGAAATTTAGGGAAGAAAACTAAACTGCAACCTCTGCAAGCGACCACTTTCTTCGTTTTGGCCTCTTCCCCTTATTTGAAAGTCTTTTTCTTCACTGTGCTATTTACTTTTATCATCGGCCATTGGCCTTCAATTAAGGAAATACCGAAGTATTCCTGTCGAAGTGGGAACTCCAGGATTTGCAAGAACATACAGGAGATAGACTTGGCAGAACCACAGCGCAGTACTTTTGCATTGTCGACAGTAAACTGATGCCAGATCGATCTAGCGAGATTTGAACGAAATGCTGAAAAAAGCTGACGTGGAGAAACGGGAAGCGCATACTGCAACGTGTTCCTTAGTAGCTCCGAAGCGCCTCGCGTTTTATGTCTTCACCAACTTTGTTTTTTCAAATTTCTGTTTCTAATAGTGCAGAGAAATGCTGTCATTCCTGCAGGAAGTTTCATTTTAAGTCTCTTTGAGAACGCTTTAAAAAAATAGCTTTCATCAAGCGGGAGAATAAATGGACCTTTATCTTTCCTTCGTCCAACTTGAAGCTGTGGTGTAACACGCGAGTAGATCGAGTAGTATAACGTTTCTTGACAATACTTGGCGAGCATTATAGTCTTCGGTGCGATTCAAACGCACTATATTCATCTCACCTTAACGGTGTCCTACCATTACGCTATGGGAAAATTTTACTCTACTAACTCTGGACTTCAAAATATTGGATTTTTCAGTTTTATTACACCTTCGGCAATAAAGATAAATCAGGAATTTCTCTTTTTCTGTATAGGAGAGTGTGTTAGAGGAGAAAAACAGATGAGGCAGATTATTTAAAAATGAATTTCCCGTCAAATATTTCTTAAAATTTTGGATGCTTTTTGGTATTGTTCTGCAACTGTGCTCTGTCAAAAGATTATCTGTAGAACTCTTCAGATCATCAATTCAAATTGCACGTTTAAGGTCAAACTGAAGAAGTTGCGGATGTCGGAAGGAAAAAATTATTTCAGTCGAGAGTGCTTGAAGGCTAATGATAATCATACATAATATTAAGTAAAAATTGATCATTTTTGCCGAAATTTTGGGCTTTATTTGCAAATTTTCACTGGTGCAAAATTTATATGTACTTATGAATAAAATTGTAGGCAGTTTAATTTATTAATCCCTTTGACTGGTAATTTTAAAAATAAGAATAGTTTTTTATGTTATGTGTATGTTCTTTTATGACTAAGACACATTGCTGAAATTGAAATGTGACATTTCATTTTCTAGTCATCTATCTTCTAGTTTTTTGTTAGTGGTAGCTGTTAGTGAGTAAAGTTCAGTATATATTTTTTTATTGTTATTTTCACACGCCATTACATTCAGTTAACTTCTTTCTTTCTTGTTTTTGACTTCACCAAATTTAGATTGTGGTGAATGAAGAAGTTACGGTGTATTTGTTAAACAAAAGAATTTTGAATGGCCACAAAAGAGTTCAGTTTAGCCATGTATATCCATCCGGTAAGAGATGAACCATGCCCTCGCTCACCCAGCTTCCGGTTTTGTTTCTTTTCTCCCTGCAAATGCCTCGCTTATTCCATATTTCTTCAAGTCGCTATTTACTATAATTCTACTTACTTCTAAAATATGATTATTACTATTTGATATTTGTTAGTGTCAGTCTTACGAAGAAAATAAGCTACAGGCAGAGTTTACAAAAAATAATAATGTTTTTTTAAATTTGATCGAAATCATTCAAAAGTTTCAAGTGTAACGAATTGGCACTAACTGGAAACTAGAACAGTTGTGCTTTTCAACGCATTTTCCGTCGTTTCTTCTCCAGAAACCTTTGTTACAGATGCATTTTGGGTCTGGACACCTAAAATACTACTTGTAATCTAGCATCTCACAAGCCCTAAAACAGTTTAAAATGCACTAGTTGTATTTTTTCAAGATTTGAACAAATCCATTTAATTGTAGCAGATTCTGTACAAGCGAATAGATAGAATAAGTAAAAACCTGAACGAAGTGTTTAAAGATGCTTCACAGTACCATTCTGCTTCGCATTCTGACCAGTGCTCATTGTTGCTATTGCATTTGTTGTCTTTCTTTTCCTCCTATTTTCAAAGAACATTTATGTGTTAATATTTCAAGGAAAATACTCCTTTTTGCCTAAAAATTTTTGCAGTACTATTTCTGTCGATTAATTGAAACCGAGTTGTTCTCTTTGTAGCAAAATAATTTAACTATCAGCAACTCATTAATGAAATCAAGGCTCTCTGAGAATAGAAGTGCTGTTTACTCTGTGTCTACCGTTGGCCTCATTATTTGTTTTCTCTTCCGTGGCAACTTTTCCAAAGGATTTTTCCGGAGAAGGGTGATTAAAATCTATTATCAGAGATTTATCACCGTTTTCTTCGTTGTCAGTTTTAGCGGTTACTGCAATTAAAATACGTTTTTCAAATGTCATTGCTTTTAAACAACTTAGGTATTTTGAAAAACTTACAAGATGAAGTCGTCTTGTCTGCAGTGGTTAAAAAATTCTTTGCCAATGACAGGTCGGCAGAGCACGTATGAGCTGGAATAGCTGTTGGCGAAGATACAGCATTATTGACAATATGGTTCTGCCATGTCTTTTCAGAGGATTCGTCTATCGGTACTATTTGATTTAACCGAAGGTTGGATTGTAGCAGCAAATTCAGTTCTAAGACAGGAAATTTTTCATACCCTGCTGAAGTTGCTGGTTTTACTTTTTGGTCAAAATTGGGTTCTAAGGCTTTGCGACTTAAATTTGATTCATTTTTTGCAGCGGTTACTGGCAAAATTTTTTCAAAACCAGTACTTTTTTTTGCTCTTTCAAGGCTTTCTAAATTCTTGAAGTCTTTTTTCACTGCATTTTGGAGTGGCTTAATCGGTTTCTTACTTAACATTACGTAGTTCGGTTGTTGTCTTCTGAGCAAGTTTTTATCCAACAAGCGACTCAACTTCTTGTTAGGTACTATTTCGTCTTTAAAGTGTTCAGCAGTTTCGGGAACAGATGACTTGGGATAGCGTGATTCAGATTTGTCTTTTATGTTGCCGTTGCGTGGAAAATTCTCCTCAGCGATGATATTTTCAATTCTATTACTTCTGGATCTTGCAGCTTTGTCTGCCGGAAATCCTCTTTCATTATTAGATTCACCAATACTTCTAAGTTCTCTTGGGCTGTTGAGTTTATATAACTGGTCTGTTATGTTACTTGACGTCATTCCAAATCGTTCCTTGTGCATTTTCAGTAGCTGTTGACGATTTGGTTGTGCAGAATACATGGGCATTAACAAAACTTTCTGTTTAGGTTCAAACGAGTCATAGCGGTGAACGTTCAAAGGCGTTCCTACTGTCACTGAATATAAAATTTGAAATAAAAGCAAAACAGCAGTTCGCTTGGACATCGCTGTGAAGCGTATTGAGCCTGAAAAAATATTTTTTAGCACTGAAACATGTACATTTTAAGCAGTTCTTTGAAAATCCGTTTGCTGGGAATTCATCGATAGTCTACTGATAATCTAACGGGGAAAAAAGTCTTATGAAATTATGGATAAAAATCAAGATGTCAACATTAGACTTTTTTTTTATACTTTAGAGTTTTAGACACTCAAACAGATAGTAAGTACAAGAAATTATCATTTAAGAAATAGTATGAAAACATGAAATTTTGAGGAAACAGGAAATTGGCTGATACGGCTGGAATCAAGTGTGAACATCGGCTGAGGTGTGTTGCTAAAATACTGGTTTATAACGATAATGAGGGATAAATTTTGTTGGCTTAATGTTGCTTATCAGCTGAAAGATGTGTAAAACGGTATATTAAACACTGATCCGTAATTTCATTTGGAAATGGCCGTAAAAGTTTTTTTGCATAGTTAAGATTGGAAATCTTGGCGATAATTTTGCAAATGAGGTCTATTTTGATCAGCTGTAAGGACTAGGAGACATAATTAGAAGCTGCTAAATACCAGCATTTGTTACAGTCGTTTATACATATCTGTCTAGTCAAAGAAAGAAAAGTGACTAAGTCGTCAATTTTTTATTCAGTAGCTTTAACATTTCTAAATGTCCATAAAGTTTTAAATTTGAAGAGTATTTGTCTGTCTATTATCTGTAAACTGTGGTGGATAAAGATGCTTCACCGAAATGGAGGTGCTCTTAAAGGTTTGTTTTTCCTGGATTCTGCACGTTCTTACATTAAAACTGTTCTGTTACATTATACGTTTTACAAAATAAATCACTTTCATGGTTTCTGTTTTACAACAACATTTTTTTGCTAGATAAAAATTTATATATGTTGCACCTCTTTTATTATCGTCTCGTATTCTTAGATTTTTTGAAGTCTTTTTAAAAACTAGCTGAATAAAGGTATTCTTATTCATCGACTACAGAATTCTGCAAATTGTTGGTTTTTCGGCAGTCTATTATCTATCACTGGTAATTACGCTTTATTTGAAGTTTATCTTCAAAAATTTTTTTTATTTTTTTGCAAATTGAAGACAAACAATGGTTTAAAAAAAACAGAGAGATTCATGGTGGCATTATGGATGAAACTTTCAGCCAGAAATTTTTTTCTCACTTAAGACTCTTGTTTAAAGTTTGTTTGTTTGATGATGCTGAATAGAACAGAAAAAAAATTTTTTTTCCAAACTTTGTAATTGTTCTGATTTTAAGTGCAGACAGAGTTTTTGATTTTTAAGTAAATTTTGTGTTTACTTTCCTTTTAGCTGTTAAAGGTCAAAAAAAATTGTAAACTGTAAAAACTCAAGTTTATTTCACTTGTAGACTTGATAGTTTTATTACAGTGTTAAAGCAACTTACAGCTTCCTTTTTGCTTTCTGTTAAAATGCATAAGCGATGGAGCACGTCATATCCTGTTAACGTTTAAATAGAATTGGCAATTTTGAAATGGTAAAAAAAAGGGGAAAATGTTGCAAACTCAAGAAAGTTTTGAAGATAAAAGCGCAGAAAAACCAAGAGGAAAGCGTTTATCTTTGTTTAAAATTCGATATAAACTTTAAATGTTTAGACAATATAAATAAAATGTGTGATATCATTAAAACACAATGTCTGTACATAATTTTGTGGATAATTACGTAGAAAAAAATCTTCGCAAATGAAACACTGACATAAACTTTGAAAACAGTAGTCATCGTATCTGACTCATTAAAGCGCTACTGGCCTGTAGTCTCAGGTCTCTGTTTTACAGCCAACAAACTGTTAAGGTCAATTACTGGTTCGCTTTCATTTAAAAAAAATGATCTTAGACGGTCAGCTTAAAAAAAACTTTTTTTTATATGTAAAACAGAAAAATTATTAGTTTACAGAAACAAGAGGAACATTGCAAGAAATAAATAAATAAATATACATACATATAAGAAAAAGTAAGATGACTATTGAGTAGATAAAACATATAGAAGGATTATTTGTAGTATTATTAGGAGGTTTATATTTTAAGATACTAGAAAGCTTAGAATTGTCGTCGATATCTTCATATATCATTCGAAATTTCATACTGCATATTTGTACAATGGTGCATTCTTAAAAGCAGTTTCTTGAAATCGTCATTTCCAATAAGTCAATTCAATTACAAAAATTGTTTTAGTTACGTCATCAAATAATAATTGTGATAATAATAATAATAATAGTAATAACAATAATAATAATAGTGATTATAATAATAATACTTTCGGCTAAAGTAGTTATATGTTTTTATACAGGAGATACTAGATGCACTAGAAAAAATTAGTATTTCGAACAGAACAGCGAAATAACAAAGTTATTCATTTTACGCTCTCGGTGTGGATAACGTTGTCGACTGGTAGTATCAGACTTTTCCATAACCTAGTGCTAGTTCCTTTATCACCAAAAGCGTCGTCGTTTCGGTTTTTCACGTCTACGTTCGCTATAATCGTCTTCGTCAAAATCATGAAACCTAAAATCGAATAATAACAAGTGCTTTCAGGTTTGAAGTTTAGAAGTCTGTACCCATTCTGCTGTTACTGAGCAACTAATAGCAGCTGTCATCAGTTTTTTGATTTTATTCAAATGATTTTGTTAACTGATTAATCCTTTAAACTTTGAAAGAATAAGATTTTAAGTCTGTTCTACCGGCTTTTGCACTTCCATTCTCTGATACAGTACCCTTCTCTGTTACGAACGAATCCCTTGTTACAGACACATCGAGGGAAATAGCATTTTGGATGGTTTAAAATTTCGTGACAGTTTGGAGGACTAAAATTTGAAAATAAGAAATCAGTATCTAATTAATGGAAGCTAACAGAGAGACGTTTCAACAGAAGAGACATCTTGTAAACAAACTACTATTAAAGTTTGCTTAAGTCATCAGAGCGTACAAAAATGCAAAATTTCATTATTCTGCTTTTCTTTACCTGTACAAGTTATCACAAGATTTTTCGCAGTGTGGTTCAGGTCCACACTTCATCCAATGTTCGAATTCACGACAATTGAACCGCGTTCTTTCGTCGCGTGGTGGAAAACGGTGGATTTGGCGATGCTGAAATCAATTCTGTTCATTTTGTCGTGCAAATTTCTGTTTACGAATTTCACATATTTGTTTTTTTTTTTTTTTTTTAGCAACCCCAAGATTGAGTAGAAAATGCACAGAAATGCTGTATCCGTTAGAGCAAATTTGTTTATTTGCTGTCTGAGATTTACAGCATTGATTTCAAACTTTCTACCAAGTTATTCGCTACTTACACATAAGTTGTTGGTTAGGGCAATTTAAAAGAACTGTTTTTGGTGTGTTTATTCTGTTTTCAATAATAATTCTTTTCCTTTTTTTGCTTGTTTATTCACACATTAGCTAATATCCGGCAATAAAACATCGAAAGCAATTCAAAAAATTTACAACTCAAACATTTTTTGAATGTTAACAGCTGTTAAAAGTAAATAAAAGTATCAACTGTCTACTGAAAAACAACTCTCCTTCATTCGCTTTTGATTTTTTGTTAGAAAATAATAAAATTTTTTCTTTTTTATAATTTATTTGATTAAGTATTTGGCAATTACGTCTACCAAACAGTATTCACAGCGATTCTATGCACTCAAATGATAACTGTTCACTTATAATTTTTTCAACCACTTTTATTCTGGTAATTAAGTTATATCTGTAAATATATAATAGATTTTAATCAGTCGAAAAAAATTGCTGAGATTTACTGTTTAATTTAAAGTTTAAAAATTCTAGACAAAAAAAAGAAGACTGGGAAAAGAATTTTTTATATATATGTTTTTGAAAAGAAAAAAAAAACTGTTGATTATTCTTCTATTAAAAAACCACAAAACCGTTGATCTACGGTTCAATGTCAGCGCACATTTAGTGTAACTGTACACTGAAAGAAATTAACT